TATGGGATATTTTTGGAAGAATTACCCACGCACATGCATAATGGGCCTTGTGTGAAGGTAGAAAATGGTCTCTGGCATTTTAAATTAAGATGATCGTGCTGATGAGGTATTGGGCCCTTTTTATTGACGCAGAGAACCAAACGTTGATGTCGATAAATAAAGAAAACTGGCTGAGATGGCGGCCATGGAACGTGAGCAAGTGGCGGCCCAGTGTTATGGTACCTGGGTCTGGTGACACAGTGGTTTTGATTTTGTTTGTCTATATTCTGTGACTTAGTGTTTCTATTATTTAGTTTCTGTATTTCTAGCTCCCTTTAGTATCTCCTGATTTCCAATTGTAGGTTTTGTTTATATGCCTTCCCTGTCTCAGTGTTGTTCTGCACCTCTCGAGCAGGTAAAAGACAATAATTTTTCAAAGACCATCAATTCAGGTTTTGTTAATTGAGGTTCTCTCATCCCCGAGTCTGTTTGCTTGAACTGTTTTTCCTCAGACTGCTCGTCACGGTGGAAAAAATTTAAAACCTATCTTAGCTAAGCCTCGTCTAGTAAATTCCTCATCTAGTAAATTCAGAGACTGCTAAGACTGTCCTTTCACAACCTGTTAATTGTGGTGGAAAAGGTTTGAAAACAAGTCTGCCTATTTAGTTTATTTCTATTTTCAGTTGAGTTATTTTCATGTTCAGGAACAAAGCTGTTGTGAGTGCATTTTTCGCCTTCTGGAGTCCGCACTTTGGATCCACCATTCCTGCCTGTCATACACAGTACTTGACACCCAGAGCGATCAACCGGACAAGCTGCAGGACCAGGCAGAGTGGCAGACATAGGTGCTGAAGTGGCTCGTCAGGTCGCCACATCGCCTCTCTGCTGGCGGTGGCAATGGACCAGATGAGGGAGGACAATGACCCTCAGGTTTTTCTGGAGGCACGCATTCTGACAAATGTGGTCCTGGAGCAGTTCATGGAGGGACTGCCCTGATGAAATAAAATCATATAATATTTTTTAGAAACTCAATCACTCAATCACATACCACATGAGTATATGATTCAATAAAAAGCAAATAAGTTTGACACTCCAGTTACAGAACGACCTTCTTAAGAGCCACTGTGTGGACCAAGGACCTGTTCCAGGAAATATCCCCATCCTGCATGAATGCCACTTCCAACAACCACAGGTAATGTAGAGTATCAAACTACCAGGATAATAAATATGACTAAAAAATAATCTGAAATTATTACTTTTACTTTTAACAGCACTGCTACTACAACACAGATGGTGAAATAATCATTGGGGGGATTACATCTCACAATTATAACAGTGATCGCTGCCTGGTTGATCCAGGCTCTGGAAGTTCTCCCACCCTGCAGGAGTGTCCACTGGCAAAAACGAATGAACTACACATGCACTGGGACTTCAAACAAGATCTTGGCCTAGACATATTGTTTTTAGAAACACTTGCTGTGCACTCTCTCATAACGTCTGTCAACCTGTGGCAGGGCCAAGCAATCATAAACAAAGCAACAAACAGATGCCTTGAAATCGCCCAGGGAGCAAACCTTTACTATGAACTCATCATTCAGCAGTGCAGTGGGCAGAGCTGGAGGATCGAGCATCTCGTCACAAGTTTTTAGTGCAGTCTTTAACATGAACATCTGTTATAGTCAAGTGTGCTCAAGCTTGATCTTATGAACACTTTTCACAGATTAAAACAAAATAAAGATCAAAATTATTTCTAAATACCACTAATAATGTTTTAATTCCTACAGTACTCACTACAAATAACTGGGCTGCACATTTTCCACCTGTGAAGCATCTGCATGATTCCAGGAGTTTAAACAGTTCAGGCTGAATGACATAATCATGAACAAATAACTGAACATTTTGAAAAGAGATTTAAAAACAGTATATATTTTTTGTCCATTACATTGATGACTCTTTTATGATCAGTTTCAAGCTAATTTTAGGCTGTTCAGACATTTCAGTTTTGCTTTTCATCAGAGAAAATATGTGAGGGGTCACAGTCACTTTTTTGGGAGTGGAGGGATGTTGACGCCTCTGCTCAGCTAACGATTTTATGACATTCAGTTCAGGAGTTAGTGTCAGTTAGGTCAGTACTGTGTGTGTTTTTGTGTGTCCTCTGACGTGTTATTATCTGGCTAGAAAGTCGGTGTTATCAGAATGAGGGTAACATTGACAAAGCGACTATTGTTATTAGTGGGCACCAGAGATGGGCAGTAACG